TCATCATCCCCCATATTGCAGCTGAGGCTGAGATGCAGCATCCTACCTTGTGCGTTTGTGGCAGAGGCGAGATTCAAACGAATCAACTCCTGATTTGTAGCCCGATGGCTTGCTTCTGTGCTACGCATGGAAAACCTGTTTGACCAGTGGAACCAAAGAAATACAGTATACCATATTTTTCCGTCTATAAGATGCCCCCATGTATAAGATGCCCCCTATTTTGGGGGACTCAGATTTAAGAAAATGGGGGGAGGTGGCCCAGAGTATAAGACGCCCCCTAATTTTTGACATTATTTTTAAAGGGAAAAAACCTAAGTCTTATACACGGAAAAATACAGTAAGTGTATGGGCAATGGGAAGCAATGTGGCCCCTCTCTCAAACCCTTTTCTTAAAAAGTCTCTTAAAAAGTACTTTCTCCATCCTGCCCCAGTTATTTGCTTAATCAGGCAAAGTGAGCAGGGTTGGGAAGGAGGGGCTGTCTGTTGACAAGATTTATTTTCCTTCCAGAGGCGATGGGGAGGGGGGGCTGTCATTCTGACCTGTCTCTAAACTGAGGTCAGCCAGGGTCACATTCAAGCTCTCTGCAGAGTAACTAGTGAGATACTTGTGTTAGGTGCATGCTCAACTGAAATTACACTCAGTTCTTGTCATGCGGCTATATAGTATGTGACATTAGGCCCGGCAGGTCAAACCTTTGTCAGCATGGGAGGAGACCTTAATCTGGATCTGGGTTAATCCTGCAAAACCCTCCCAGGTCATGACCTGGCATTCTTCACGTCCCCTGAAATCATTCCAAACACAAACCTATCCTATCATCGCCTTCCTTGACTTCTTGTCTTAGTGAACAAGCCAATCGTGAACGAGAGAGAAAGAGAGAGAGCATCCTGGCCACATTATCGGGAAATCAAACCCTTGTACAAACATATTCCGCATCCATTGGCTGAGAGTCACCTTTGAAAATGTTGCAGGAAATGGTTATCAGCTCAACAGGGTTGCGAAGCAGAATAAGATAAAGCTTTGTGCTTGGCAGTCTAGATTAAGGATTCCAGGCTGATATTTTTTAAAAAAAAATAAAAATGTTGAGAGGAAAGGAAAGGTCTCCTTAGCAGCTCTCTACATTGACCAACCTGCCAGCTTTTCTTGAACAGTCAGGGGAGAAGCCAAATGCCTGCCTTCCCTTGTTAAAAAACAGATACAGCTTGTTCCTTTGGACAAATATATGATGTTGTGCCAGGGCCAGCGTGCAAGAGATGCCATTCCTTTAACAAGTGTCTTGTCACAAATTAAAAAACATGGAGCAGGGTTTTGAGTCAAGCTCTGCTGAGAAATCCATTGACGTTTTCTGTTTCTTGACAGGGCTCCCGGTCTTGCTGTAGGGAGCTACCAAGGGAAGTCAGTAATAACTTGTCAAGAAGAAACAGTGAATTGCTAATAAAACTATCGGAGTCAAGGCCGGTTGCTAAAGGAATTTTTTTTTTTAAATGTGCCAGCAGAGCAAATGTGAAGTATATGGACTGTAAATTAAGATAACAGTCTAGCCTTGCTAATCTGCACTTTGCTGGACCACACACTTTTTAAGGCACGAAAAGAAAATCTATACTTTCTCTCTAGTTCACAGCCAACTGTTTTAAACAGCAGATGCTGGAGCAAAGTCTCCAGTTACTGCGATTACATTATTTTTAGAACAAGCAGGGCTGTGTTTACCAGCGGATGATTGGTTGTTATCCTAAATAATTAAAACCAAAGTAAGTTTGACAAAATAGTGCGGTTCGCCTTGCATTATTTGTGGTTCTTTGCTTCCAGCAACAGAATCCCCTGAGCGCAAAGCTGGCAGAGAGTTGCTGGGATGCCCCACACAGAACTGAGATTTGCTCTGCGGTTCTTGCACTGGGAAGTAGACAGATCACTTCAAGGAAGTACAGACATAGCAGAAGCAGGAAAGAGCACAGGCGGAGTGGGAAGAGAAAGGTGGAAACTGGAGGAGGGCAGTCCAAGAAAGACAAAACATAATAAAGTCCGATAAAGACAGAGAAACATATTGGGAGAAAAACTGTCAGAGGAAGATTTCTGAAAATATGCTACGTGTGGCTTGAAATTGCCACCAGGATCTGCAAATATTAGTTATCCTATTTACAGCCCTGTCACTTCGCACCACATGGAGTGTGATTTGCTTGAGTGTATTTACATAGGAAAGCAGGGCAAACATCTAAATCATGGTCCACAATTTAGAACTCAAAATGTGATGGATCGGGGTTCCCTAACTGCAGTCCACCAGCTTCATCCACGTAGTCTGTGACACGTGCATGTTAAATAGTCATATCGATTTTTAATGGTATTTGTATTGCTTCTTGTATTTTACAGAAGCACATGGAATGCACATTGCAGAACATTAAAATACAACATAAGAAATAAAAGAAGCAACAAAAATTCAATTAAAACCCATACAGAATCTAGCACAGTGCATTGTGATGGCTACAGCAGTGGGGGAGGGAACCATTAGCAATTTTCAAGTGGTCCATGGGGAGAAAAGGTTTGGGAACAATCCTAACAGATGAACAGCAGCATCTACAGTGCAATCCTACCCATGTCTACTCAGAAGTAAGACCCACCGATTTCAGTGCTGCTTATCTTCCCTTGTAAGGGATTGCAGCCTCAGGCAACACTACCATGTCTGTGGTTGGCTAAGCCACCTCTCCCTGAACACCCAGACTTCTCATCAACATCACTTCTTTTTGGTCTGATTTAGGTTCAGCCTGTTCATTGTTGCTCATCTCCCTAACCACTGGCCCCAAACATTCACTAGAACGTATCTGCATGACTCCATCCCTCTTTTTGTTCCACTTTAATGACATTTACACATGGCCTCTCTAGCTTGAGCCAGAGTGGGTATTTTGAGAGAGGGGTGTGTGTCACATGTGAAAATGGTCCCAGTTACATTTGAGGAGGCATGAACAGGAGAGAAAGAGAAACCTAAAATCCACTGTTCTTATGTAGTCTTTCATAAACTGTAATACTTTGTAATGTTTCTGTGTAAAGGAGCAAGAGCGTAACTGTATAATTTCCATACATACCTGGCTTTACTGCACTTATAATTCATGTAAATAAAAAGCCTTACCTTTATTTAAAAAAAAAAAAAAGTACTCTGAGGAACTATTGTCTTCTCTTTCAGCTTAAGGTTCATGTATCTGAACTTGAAACTTACATTTAGCTTATGGTGGAAGATACTTGCTCCTGAATGCCTGCAGACTGTTCCACATTCTTCCTCTTCTAAATGCATCAGGGCTTTTTTTCTTTCTTTCTTTTTAAAGTACCGTATGTGTACTTTAGTGCCGGGCCAAAATTTCTCAGAATTCTCTTAGGATTTTCTTTTTCAGACTTCCCTCAAACCGTTGGAGTCAGTCAGCAAAATGTTTATGCTAAAAAAAAACAACCCACAAAAACGACAATCAAATTGAGAGATGCATTTTAATGATCCCCAGCACACTGGACCCCATTTTGTGTGATAAGTTGTCATCGGAACAATTGAAGAATTTCAGTCCCGTCTCAGAGAATACCTGGCAAAAATTTCCCTGCAGCTCCTCCACCTAGCAAGGTAGAGAATTTCAGGCACAGCTGTGTTTCTAAGCTAATGTATTTTCATAATGTTGAAAGAAGCCATGGATCTGGCCCCTGCTCCCTGCAGCCCCATTGCTTCCTTCATCCGCCTATATGAATTAAAAGTAAAATTTATCAGTATTAACTGTGCCAAAAACTTCTCAGTAGAGACTGAGAACTTTTCTCAAAATGTTCATACACCACTTGTGAGACGATTGTAATTAAGTAGCATATAAATTGTCAAAAGAAATAGCCAGGTTCCTCTCTGTGCTTTCAAGTTAGACTTGAAATATGCACTCTACTGTAGTCAATCGAAAGGAACAAATGATGTTTGCTAAGCCTCTCTGACTGACCCTTGGGAGTTTCCGTAGCCCCTCCCCCAGCCAAGCCCCTCACTAGACCTGCCCTAGTCTTATTTGGCTGGAATGTGTCTTGCTGGCTTAGATGGAGTGTGTGTAAAGAAGCCTTGCTTTTCTCATGGCTCAAATAAAGCCTACTGTACAAAGGTAAGAGTCGCATCCATTGCTCTGACTAATTTTGTCTCTGGCACCACCCATCACTGCAGGAATTCCTCACAAGGCTCGGGGGGGGGGTGCCCTACCCTGATCTAAAGGACTTTGCCAAGTTGCATTATTTCGTATTAATTCAAATGGCATGGATTACTTTCCTTCAGGAAGATGAAAAGGAGTTCTACCCCATTAAAAACCCCATAGTGCATTGTCTCAATATGCTACAATGCGGCTGCTGCCCCACTGTTCGATGCAAGCATTTGCTCCTTGATCAGACACGGGCTACGCTGTGTCCTGGTGAGCGCTGCTACTGAACTGGGATGGCCAGAGAACTGGATGAAGAGTGGAAAAGACAGAGAGAGAGAGAGAGAGAGAGAAAGAAAGAAAGAAAGAAAGAAAGAAAGAAAGAAAGAAAGAAAGAAAGACAGAGAGACATTTTCAAGTTAACAGTAGAAGCCAGTTGTTTTGTGTCTTGACTACCTTACTGGGTGGTTTCGCTGAGAAGATCTTCCAGATGTAATTTTGGCATTAATGAATCTATTCAGGGGGGAAAACATCTGCTGGGCTGCTTAGGAAACACAATGAAACAGCTGTTGTGTCCACGGTCTTTGCTTTCTACTCTGGTCTTCTTCCTTTAGGAAATAGATGGAGGCTATTTGAGTTCAGACGCCATTAAAATTTCTCCTTGCCTCACTTCCAGAAACAGGATTCCAGCTCAAATTAAACAATTTGGCCTCTTGAGATTTATACAGGGTGGGTGGTGGGAAGCAGAGTGGCCTCCCTTCAAGTTCAAAAGTGCATCCCATTACAACAACACCCTCAATGTAGCCCACATTATGCAGGGGTCAAATACCAGCCATCTTGAGTGGAAGGAAATATATATATATTTAAAAAATTGTCCAGTAGCACCTTAGAGACCAACTAAGTTTGTTCTTGGTATGAGCTTTCGTGTGCATGCACACGAAAGCTCATACCAAGAACAAACTTAGTTGGTCTCTAAGGTGCTACTGGACAATTTTTTAATATATTTCTACTGCGTCAGACCAACACAGCTACCTGCCTGAATCTTGAGTGGAAGGGTTCTTCTGTATCTTTTTTTTTTTAATAATTATTGGAGAAAGGAGGTCTGAGCCTCCTTGTCTGATAATATGAAAATGCTTAACAGTGTATTCCCATCATTGTCTACTCAGAAGTCCCATTGAGTTCAGCAGGGATTATTGCCAGGTAAGTGGCCATGGGACTGCAGTCTAAATGTTTTTTTCAGGTTTAATTCTGGCTCCAAAGAGAATGCTGCAGGAGAAACATCTCTGATCTAAGGAGAACATTTAAGTGGCTCCCAGAAACTGGGAGAAACTTCTTGGCGGTTGAGTGGGACTGCTCCTCAATTCCTCAGGTGTTGTCGTTTTTCCCTTCAGTGAATGCCCTCTGGTAGTTTAAGTACAGCACTATATTACAGTTGGGGTTGTTTCCCTCCCAGAGGGACCAAAGAAAGATCATTTGTACTTATACTTTGGGACAGTTTGGCAGGGAGGGGAATTAGCAAATCTGTAGCTTTGAACAAGCTGTTGTGTGTATGCGCAAAAAAATATTTCCAATAAAACTTTTATTAAAAGAGTCAAGAAGGGTTTTGCTTATTTTGGATTTTTCATTTGTTTTCCCCCCGTCCATCCAAACTCCAGGCTAATGTGAAATTTGACATCAAATGCACTCAAGCGGTATGTCTATAAATTGGGCTGTTATTATTAAATACAGTGGTACCTTGGGTTACATACGCTTCAGGTTACAGACTCCGCTAACCCAGAAATAGTGCTTCAGGTTAAGAACTTTGCTTCAGGATGAGAACAGAAATCGTGCTCCGGCGGCGCGGTAGCAGCAGGAGGCCCCATTAGCTAAAGTGGTGTTTCAGGTTAAGAACAGTTTCAGGTTAAGAACGGACCTCTGGAACGAATTAAATACTTAACCCAAGGCACCACTGTACTCTCATAGTCATTACCTTTGTCACAGAGGAAGACAAGCAGGTCTCAGGTACCACCAGCTGAGACCAGGTTCCGGATACTGAACCCAAGGCTGGCAGTCAGGAGCCTGGAGAACCCAAGTGAGAACTCTTGCTGATGCCTTCTCCCAATCCTGAGTGGCCTGAGGAATAAGGAACTTCCCTCTTCATTATATGTGCCTGGGAAGCCACCCAAAGGAGGAAATGTGCTCACCTTCAGACTGAGGAATTGGCCCTTTAAGGAGTCACAGGGTTGAAATTTGAGGGCTTGATTAGGGGTCCCTCTTTGAGCAAGTGTCTCCCTTGGAACTCTCCATGGTGCTGTAATCACCGTCCTACTTCAAGGGTACCTGTTATGGACAGATCAAAACAAAGGTGTGTATGGAGCAGTACCTACCCTCTAGGCCAAAATCTTCTATGGGTATTGTTTTCTGGCTCTTAAAAATCCTACACTAATTCACCAGCCAGGGTCGCACACCTCATGCTGCGCTGCTTCACCATCTGCCTCTGACACATACTGCTCCTTTTCGCCACCTAGAACACACACACACAAACATATTTCCTACAAATGCCCAGTTCCTCCTTCAGCTCCACCCTGAGATAACTGAGCCCACGGCAATCAGGGATTCCATCCCTTTCAGCAGTCTTACTGCAGCTTTTACCAATATGTTAAGAAACCCTGTGATTTTGCTGTTTATAGACCTATTACCAAAAATACAGGCAACACTGGCACTTTACTACCTCTGCTGGTGGCCAGTGTGTCCTAGCTCATAACTTTTTGGTGGGCAGGGGAGCCAGAGATACATATAGGTACAGGTTAATCGGTTGGGAGGGCAGAGCATGGAGATTCCACCCTTTGCACGCAGAAGGTCCCAGGTGTAATCACAGCATCTCCAGGGAGGGCTAGCAGAGAACCCTGCCTGAAATGCTGGCCAACCAAGCATTGATTGATTGATTGATTGATTGATTGATTGCATCTGTATCCCACTTTTTTCTCCAAGGAACTCAGGACATCGTACATGGTTCTCGCCTCCTTGTTTTATCCCCACAACAACTGTGTGCCGTAGGCTAGGTGTGAGGTGTTGGGAGGTAAACCAGTGAGCTTAACGGCCGACTAGGCTTTGAACTGTGGTCTTCTGTGTCCTAGTCCAACGCTCCAACCACAACACTGCACTGACTCTCTAGGTGGACCAGTGGCCTGTCTTGGTATAAAGCATGTTCCTGTGTCCCTGGGTGGAAATTAATGGACACAAAAAACATTCAGTCCTGGGCCTAAAAGTCCTGTTGGCAACAGGGAGGCAGCGTGTCCCATTTCACCTCCTGCGGCAAAATAGTAAGGTGCCACTCCAGTGGCATAGCGCAGGTTGCCAGTGCCTGGAGCCACGCAGAAGGCCGTGGGTGGGACAGGGAGAAACGGACGGAGTACACATGCACATTCAATTGCCTCATGGCATCCCCATCACCCAGAAGATCACAGCCGCAGAGATAAGAAAATAAGAGTTGTTCTGTTGTCTGGAGAGGTGACTTCCTGGTTGAGAAGCCTGGCAGCTGTTTTGAGATAGCACCAGATGTTGAAATATTGCACCCCTAACAATTTTACACCCAGGGCAACCGCCCCTGGGGCCCCCACACTACACCACTGTGTTGCCCCACCCTACTGTTGCTGTGGCTGTGCCACCACCAAAGCCTCCCACACCTTCGCTGCATGACAGTGTGTGTGCATTGGCTGCCAAGGTATCTCAAGATTTCAGCAGGATCTCACTGGAAACCACCACCACTGTCGGCTCTGCTTCTCCACTGCGGGGCACCTGTGGTGTGCCTCAGCCCTGGGAGGTGGCCGACCCTGGCTCAAGAAACTTTTCCTACATCCTCGTTTTGCATGACCTGAAAAAGTTTTGGTTAGACTGAGGTCCCACCTCCCTGCTTTTACCCCCATGCGCTCTTCCCTCCACGTTCGTTGAACTTCAGTCAAACAGACTGTTTAAATAATAAAGTGGAACCCTTGGCTTGTCCCCAATGTCGAGCTTCTCCCCTCCGCTTTCCCAAATAGCCTCTTGTGCATAAATTACACTTTTCCATTGTTTTGATTAAAAATTCTTTTTGCAGCGCACGCTGCACGGGGCGCTACCGGCTGGCAACCTGCGATCTGGAGGAGCCGCTGGAGTCGGCTTACAGGCAAAAGTTGGCTGGGTGGGTCTGGGTTGCTGCCGCTGTCAGGAGAATGAGAGCAGTTCATTAGTCTTGAACAAAGCAGCGGCGCTAACTATTCTTCCTTCTGTCGCCCAGCATGGATAACAGCGGCTGGCTTCAAATCTTCTGCAGCAGGAGAAGGGACTTCCTCTTTTAAAAAAAAGGTGGGGAGGGGAGAAATATATTGGATTTATAATTGAGCAAGGAGGAGGGAACCTCTGTGCTAATCTTGAAAGGAAATAACACCTCCAAGCAAATTAATTTAGTATTTTAGCTTGGGGGGGAATTAATGTGATCCTGCTTCTCAGTTAATTTAGACATAGAGACCACTATCAGAATGTGGCTGATAAGGAATGCTGAAAGGATGCTCCAAATTCCCCTGAAGAGCCATCCACAAAGGGTTTTATACTTTCTCTTTAAAAAAAAAAATACCTTTGCAGCCCAATCTTCTGTCCCTCCCAAAAAAACTAAGACAATAGAAAGAAACACACACACACACAAACATCCCTCATCTGTTCCTTAAGCTTTCATAAGCTCTACTTACAGTGCAAACCTGTGCATGTCTACTCAGAAGTAAGCCCCATGGAGGCTTTCTGTGGAATTGCAGCCTTAATGTATTCCGTTATACTGTATATAGAAAGAAATTTACTTCTTTTTTAAAGGCACGGAACAGACAACATTTTAAAACACACAATCAAGACCCTTAAAAATAATCCAATTAAAGAATCCACCTGCTCATGTCAGGGCCCCCGAGTTTGCCTGCTGTGCATCATTTCAGGAATGTACAAAGTTTGGGCTTCCTGATTGTTTTTCTCATGATGCTCATACTGCTCTATCTTGTCCAACAGTGATCTACTGGAAACCGATTTTGAAGGAGACTTGAGAAGCGACATGCCTTCTGCTTACATCCAAGGGAGATGGGGTTTGTTTAACGTCATTTAGGCCTAGCTCTCGCAGACTCTCTGCACCTCTAACAAACAACAGCTCCCAAGAAGAGTTGGGGGGAAAGCCACAACTGTCTGAAGTGGTATCCTAGTGTATGGTGTGAATGTGGTTGTGGCAAGAACTTCGGTTTGCACAAAGGGGCTTTCTCCCCTCTCCCCTCCTCCCAGGAACCCCCCAAAATTGGCTCAAGAGGGATTGGGAGAACCGCCCCCCCCTCCCCAGATCAACACATGGCAGGAGAAGAGGGGCATCACTGCGCATGACAAGCCAAAATGCTTGCAGGGATGGAATGTTCATCATAGCGCAACACTGACCTCCACCCAGCATTTCTAAATTTGCATATGTATATTGCAACATGCACATTTTATGTATGTCTGTATACTTTCTTTTGGTGCATATAACTGTTTTTGGCAAACTCGCCACCTTCTATCTCACCAAAATGTTTACAAGCAATGCAGCCTGCACAAGCGCAAGGGACGTGAGGCATTCGTGACCCCAGACTGCTCTAAGAAGCAACATGAAAAGAAAACCCAGGGTGTGAGAGACTTTCCAAATATAAGGAACAATTGGAGGCAGAAAATACAATCACTACTATCCAATTGCAAGACGGCTCAAGGCAGAGAACAAGGTGGGGAGTAACACCTTGCTAATCCAGGAAGTACCAAATCCTGCAACAGGAACAGATTTCCTGGTTTGCTACTTCTTTTGGATTTAAAGATTGAACTAGATGAGGGGTTGTTAATGTGACAGCACAGTCTAGCAACCAGCAAATGGAGATCCGAGGGCCAAATCCGCCCCCAAAGGTTTGTCATCTGGCCTCAGCATAGCCCTTGATTACACACACTCATGCACACACACTTAAAACATGCCAATTATTTTCCCCAAG